CTGACCATATTATACTATTTTTTCTCGGGCATTTAAATAAACAAAAAAATAAACAAAAAGAAATAATTTTATCCCAAACCTTTCATATTTACGTACTGTATAACTTCTGGGAACGTGTCGACATTAGTACTATTGTGTGGTACTTCACGGCCAGCGGAGCGAAGAATCGCGTGTAATGGCGTGTAGTCAGTGTTGCAAGAAGGATGTCAAGAAGTAATTGTACGTGTGGTGGAGCTAGATTATTATTTTCGACTCGCAAATAGTTATTTTTGCAGATTTTTTGCGTCACCCAGTATAATCCAGAAATTTAATTTTTCCGATTTTTACTATTCGCTGATGGCGATTGTCTTATGTGACAGATTTAAAATTTACTTTAGCCTACGATCTAGTTTTAATACTTGTAAGACATATGAATTGTATAATATTAACCTGTTTTTTTTCCTAAAAAAGAAATAACATCGACTAATGTAAATAAATTATAAATATAAATTGATATTGTTCATATTTATAATTTATTTACGTTAATCAATTTTATTTCAATTATATGTATACATATTAGATCAGATATAAGATTAGATTTATTTAAGAAAATTATTATTTCTCGAAACTTTAGGCAATAAACAAAAGTATTTTCTGCATTTTATTTCAATTAATATCTATTGTTTTTTTCTGCAGTTCTTTTAAAACAGACTTACCACAGAAGAATCCCAGGGATCTCCACAAATACCACATTTCCCTTTGTTTCGTTGCCACTGTCTAGTGAATCCGCCGCAATAACACTCATGGTCATTGTAATCGTGAGGTGTGTCAAAACCATATCTCCACATGGAAGCTCTCGAGGGTGGTTCTATTAATCTTCCATGAGCAGAAACTTTTCTAATGACTAGCAGGTTTAAGATTAACGTCAGATTAAGTACGAGGAAACGCATGTTGGTCGAGATGAGCTAGCTTCTGTAAAAAGAGTTGTGTCACAAGAATTGAGTGAATGTCAATTAATTTATCGCAAATACAATATAAGCAATCAAGAAAATGCAATTCAGATTAAAAATTTTTCTTTTACCAGATATATAATGTGTATCGATCTATTGTGCTATAGACCGCTAATTATTTAATTTACTTTAAACTATTGGAATTATATAGATACATATATATATTGCTTTATTTAATATGTTCTCATATTTAAAATATCATATTTAATATCACATTATTTTTTACAAACTCTTGACATTTTATATATTTTCCTGCTTTTATATCATGTTTTAAAGTAATATATAATATAAATTGATTTATTATCTCATATAACAAATTGTGAAGAAGCTGTAACTCCAGATTTACTCCGTGATATAAACAATATAATTTCTCAATTTTTTATAAAATCTAAACCTATAGTAAGTGGGAAATTCATAAATACCACATTAATTCTTAATTATTAACCAATATATGGAATCTAAAATCTCAATTATCAATTATTGTCTATAATAAAAAAAATTTATTTCTCAAATATATATACCAATTATTATACTTATTAAATTGTAACATTTTAGAAAATGAAAAGATAATTCTACATTAATTATGAATTATTTCGATCTAAAAAATTATTTGTCTATACCCATTTGCACAACAATCGTGACATAGTGCTTATAGCTTGAGTCGGATTATAAATAAACAATTTGTAATGTTCAACAATTATTTAAAAACAAAGTTCTCTCTATAAAGAATAAACTCCTTTTGTATATATACAATTTGTATATATACAAAAGGAGTTTATTCTTTATAGAGAGAACTTTGTTTTTAAATATGCTTACATAAATAAATTTTAAAATTGTTGAACATTACAAATTGTTTATTTATAATATATTTTATATATATATATATATATTTAGGATAAATAAAACTAAAAAAAAAAAATAAATTTTTCCATTAAATTGTCCGATAATTGATACAGAATTAAGATATTCGTATATTATATGACACTAATTCATTGCAGAGGTTCAATGAGTTTAGTTTAAAAGTATAAAAATCAGTTGATGTAGAATTGGATTAATAAGCCAAAAATATTGAGAATAATTAAGAAAATTTATTTTTGAGTTTGAGTTGATCTAAAATTGTTCAATTTTGCGGACCTATATAAACTGTTAATTGAAAAATATTGTCAATTGTATAAATTATTACTGAAAAAATTCTAGAAATATTTTGCTATCTAAGTATTATTATTAAAATTTATAATTTAATTCATTAGTGCAAAAAAATTCACGAATTAGCAAGATTATTTCAAGATCGATTGATTGTGGGTTAAGATTTAATGATCTTCTTCATCTTGCAATCTTTTTCATTATGCAATAACATAAATATTTCACTCAAAAAATAAGAGAGAAACACGCATACAAAGTATAGCAACAACCATTAGCAACATGCCAACAGCAATACAATATGTATATAGAATGTAGCGTAAGAAGTACTAATCAAAGTTAAGTGGAATTTTTACAATAAAACAGAATGTACTGATTGTGAGATAAAATGATATATTGTACAGTGAATTTTTATATATATATATATATATATTGCAAGTTTTTTTAAATTTTGTTACTTGATCGATCGCGGCTTCACCGCGACAAAGGTTCGAAGAGGCACGAAAGTGTCTAAAAAACCATATTCGAAAGCTATAAGACACAATGACAAAGGAATCACTGAACCGGTTATTACACGCACACTACACATATAAGATATTTCAGATACCGCAAAATAAATATTTGCTTCATCAAGGGATAGAAATCTAAAAATATAATATTGTAAATAAAAAAAGGTAATAAATGATGATATCCATTTTTGCAATATTTGCACATAAGAAATTTTGTATCGAGAGTATTTTGTATAGAGAGAGATATATGATTTATTCCGTAAAAAAATTCAATGTGAACGGAACATTCAGATCTTCATTTGACCTCAATATTTTTGGCTTATTAATAAACAAATTTGCTCCGTAACAATAAAAATAATAAATTTACTCGTAATGGTCGATTCAGAGGGATGTTGCATCGATCGCAAATATGGATGAGAGTGAAAATTTAAATCAAATTAGAGTTGATGAATTCTTTATGCATACCTGTGATGTAAAAGAAGCAAAAGCCCTGCTTTCTCGTGGCACTACTCTCGCATCGGCCGCGATGATGAATCAAACACAGTGTAGTGAACAGAGTCCCGGATCTCGGAACCGGTCGCTCGACGACTGAACTCGACTTGACGAGAGAACCAACCAAGCAAGTGCTCTGGTCGTTCGATGGTGTGGGAGTAGGTTATTAGAACGAGGTGATTGTCCGCATTTATGCTCGCACGTTCCGAAATACGAGGTGAGAACAGTACAAATCCGATTTTAGGCAATTTAATTTTTCGAAAACTATCGTGCAAAATAAAAATTTACACAAATTTAAAACCCGTTACTGTTAATTATATATTTAAATTATCTATTCTATTTATTCATATTGTTACCAAAATATTTTGATCTACAACAGTTTTTTAATCACTTGATAAGAAGACTATAATTATACTTATAAGTAGACTATAATAGAACTAAATACACTCAACAACAAAATTAAAGGATCGCTAAAGGACATTGCTCATTTTGGACCAATCGCGAATAATAATGGGATTCAAATATATTAAAATAAATATATTAAATATTCAACATATCCTATATTGAAAAAAAAATTTTCTTAATTTTAGTAAATATATTTACTAAAATTAGATGTACTTAATTTAAATAAATAATGTTTATAATATAAAACTTCTCAATTAGACTATAGTAAATAATGCATTAAAATTATAAAATAATTTCTTGTTGAAAAATTCACTTAAATCAAATTCAGGTTTAGTATATTACAGTGCAATAGTTGTTGAAATGTAGTAAATGAATTTTTAAAATACTGAATCCGAATTTTTTAATTTTAAAAACAGTGTTTTAATAAATATTTGTTTAAATTCATGTTTCCAAACTTTTAAAAATAATAAATAGTGCACTTATAAAAAAAAATATTTTTTTAGTACAATTTATTACATTTGAGGAAACATATGCTGGAATAAAGTTAATATATTCAATAACAAGAGAAAGAATATTTTATTTGGAACAAATAAGTTTTTAAACTTTTTAAACGCATTTTTTTACTAGTTCTTTTTCTTTTGTTTAAATGTTTTTCTGTATGTTGTTTCGTAAAAATTTTAATGATTGCATTCAGTAGAAAAAGTAGCTCAATAAGCGGTTAGTCATTATTACTTGTGATTGAAATAGTCTTGTAAATCTTTGATAGATTTAGGAAAATAAATCAATCAAAACAATATCAAATGAAATAAATCAAAAGCAATAATTATTAAGAGATAGAACTACTTTTTCTGTTCAAAATTTAAGTTAACATTTTCTCATTTTTATGTTCAAAATCAGTAAGTAGTAAAAAATAAAAGGTATAATTTAGTACATAATAACTATATTGTATGTAAGAGTATAAAGTCTAGTAAGACTTGTTTAGATATTTGGTAGGCGGTCGGAAAGAATAGAAGAGCAGTGGAGCTGTCGTGGGACAGGTAGCTAAGTAAGTGCTAGGTTGTGGTACGAGGGATCCCGAGTTCAAAACCCGGTCGGTTCCTTGGTTTTTCGACGCCTACAATTTTCAGAAGTGGGATTGAATCTGCTGGCCCAAGGAGGAAACAGTGCGATAGAATCTGCTGGCTCGAGGAAGGGACAGTTTAGATTATGTAGGGATAAATCTGTTGGCCCGAGGAAAGGGACAGTGTTAAGATTATCTAGGTACAGTGAGGAAGCCTTGACTGGTAGGGAGCCCGAAGTGTGGGGATGGACAATTTTATCAATATTATTATAAAATCACTAATTTATAAAAAATAAGATTTATATTTCAATAAATATTGACTATAATGTACAAAATAATTCTTACATTTAATGATTTTTTACTTAATAAAAAAAAGCATTTTCTTGAAATAAATATAATAAATATGATTGGAAAATTACTAATTAGTAAAAAATAAAAATTATGTTTCAATAATCATTGATTGTATTATACAAAATACTTGTTATAATTAATAAATATTATAATGGAATTATGTTCTTCAAATAAATACATGTATTTTCTTATTTAAAAAAAATGCGTTCACAGTTGTATGCAAATTAACGATTTACTAAAATTAAGGAAATTTTCTTTTTTTTTAGTATATTTTTTTCTCAGTGTAGAAACAATAGAGAAGGACATTTTTAAAAGCTCTTTTCGACTCCTTTAAAATGCACTATTTTTTATTCTTGATCGTCGATATATAAAAAAAAAATTATTATTATTCATTACGCAGGGTGTCTACAAGGTGTTATACAGGGAAAAATTACATTTTCCTCCGGTATATGTGTAATGCACAGAGATGTGCAAAATGGGTGTCTGAACCTATTTGAAATAGAAAATGCAAAATAGTTGGAACTTTTACATTTAAAAATGCAAAATACGAAATAGGTTTTAGACATCCATTTAAAATAGGAAATGGAAAATAGGCATTTTAAAAATGGTTTTTCAAAATAAAAATAGTTTTTTTAAATATTTATATTATATTTATTTATATTAAATCTTTTTTTTTATTATTTTATATTTCTTTACAACACTATTTTCTTATAATTAAATTTTTATTTTTTAAATATAAAACTTGAGATTACAAAAGTTGTCTGTCTACATCGTTCCCTGTCTACAACGTCTACAGACGTTGAGTTCTTTTTCTTTTAAAATACATTACATAATAACATTTTAATTCTAATGCTCTTTAAAAATAGAATGCTTTTTGCGTGATGCTTTTAGAAGAACAAGTTTTTCAAAGAGGGAATCCTCCATTTTCTTTCTGTGAGGTCTCATAATTAATCCGCCATACGAGAAAAGGCGTTCTACTGGCGCTGAGCTTGGAAGACACGTATTATATTTGAGAAATATTGTTTTGATTGTTGGATAGGATTTCAACATTGAAAGTGACGTGTCTCCATCTCGGAAGTATTGAAGGGCCTCCAAATCTTCTGTTGTCTCGCTTGTGGATGATGAATCTGATGAGTCATCTTGAAACATGAAATATGATTCATCCTTTTTCTTTTTTTCTGTATTACTTTCTTTTTGATTATTTTCATTCTGTTTTACTTTTCTTATTTCCATTAAAAATAATGTTTTTACATGGTCTTTTTTTTCTTTCGGTATCCATTTCATTTTAAAAAAAGGATGAGCCACTGATGCCAAGATGGCATCATTTACTGTTGATTCAAAAAGCAAAAATTGCTTGAATCGCAGTTTTAAGTTTCTCTCTATTACTTCAATTAAATGCCCGCAATATTTAAGATTTTCCATTTTCTGTATTACGCAACAACTAAACAACGCGTACTTACATGCGCGTAGACTAGTGATGCAAGAATAGGAACGTGGTATTAGTGGCATCACTGTGTAGTACATATTATTGATATCTCGATTAATTTTAATTGCATTTGAAATAGAAAATGGGTAATCAAAACCATTTAAATGGAAATATAAAATAGTTTTTGAAAAAATATATTTCAAATGCAAAATGCAAAATAGGCATTTTGCATTTTGTATTTCCATTTTAAATGCATCTATTTCAAATAATGCACATCTCTGGTAATGCAGTATATGCGTAAATTTAATTTGTTATATTTCTGCAACCAGTGTTGTCCACCACATTTTTGGGGGGGATTTACTCAGAAAAATTTCCCCTACAACAGATTTCAGCGGCAAAAGAATCAATGATGTTACCTAATCTAAATAATTACCGAACATTTCTGCTCGTGAATCTTTAAACGCTTATAACTTTTTAACAAATTTTGGACATAGATTTATATAAACTTTTTTCACCTTAACTCCATTAACATACTGTATAAATTTGATCCCAACCTTTACGGCCACCCTGTATAAAGAGAAGTAACGATTTCTCAATAGTCTCAGTACTCTGACGACTTGCGGTCCTGACGACTAGTCTATTTCTTATTCTTCTAATACTTCTTTATTATCGGTGTCTTATTGTTATTTGCTCGTAGCTCAAAACCATAAAAAATTGTCGATATTTGAACTGTTATATACTATGTTATATACAATAACTATGCGAAAAAAATCATACAACAATTTTCCTGGAGTCATTTTAAAGGTCGAAGTCTCTACTTATTTTCACTTCCATGAGTTAATTTTCCTCGAAGATGCTTTTGTACTAGAAAGTGAGATGGGAATTAAAAAAACTTCGAAAATTTTGCAAATTTAAACGGCTCTATGGAGTAGGTCTTTTTTTTTTAATTTTCTGAAAACATATTTTATTAAAGAGAACCTTTTGTGTAAAATTGTTGTTTCCTTAGAGATTAATATCATTTCATAAAAATAGGGAACATTTTTCAAACGCACAAAAATGAACAATTTTTGATCCGCTGAAATTTAGAAAAAAAACTATTGCAGACAAAAAGTTAAAAAACATTTTAAAGCTTGAAGTTTGTACTTTTAAATACAAATTTTGTTTGAAAGTCGCGTAACTCGACCAAAAAATCATAGTAAAATTTAAAAGTACGCTTTTTGTAGATAAAATGTTCTAGTTTTTGGTACTTGTCATAAATGTTTAAAAAAAAAACTTTTTTCTCAACCTGTAACATGTTAAAAGTACATAATTTTAAAGAATAAAACAATATATTCTTTTTTCAAGCTCGGAAGCGTAAAGATAAAAAATTTTTAAAAACGACCTAAAATACATGAAAGTGCAATCTTCAAGCCTTAAAATGTTTTTAAAATTTTTTTCTGCGATTATTTTTCGCCGAGTTTCAACGATTTAAAAATTGTTCAATTTTGACTGTATAAAAAGTGTTCCGTATTTTTTTGTGTGAAGTAGTATGTACATATTTTTATTTCACATAGAAAAGAACTGATTAATGAATTAAAATATTGAAATATTTATATATTGCAAAAAATAATACACTTGTATTTATATGTATAATATACTCCTCAAAAAATTAAGGGATCACTTAACTTTGGTTAAAAAAAAATAATTTTCAAATTTCAAATACAGCTGTAACTTTATACTAAAAAGTCGTATCAACTTTTTCAAAAAAGCATTTCAAAGCTCGAAATCTTTACTTTCAAATGCATTTGGCCAAATTTAATTT